AATGGAATAAATATTTGTATCAATCTCAAATATTTATTCCTATTCTGAATAAGGCATCAAGATTTATATATCTTTGTTTGAGATCACTTTGCCTTTTTTATTTTTAATTAACTTTATTCTAAAAATATTTCCTCAGGGAAATTTCATGTTTAGCGCTGTTTTAAAAGGAATATAAATAACATACATCAACCTGTAGAATCTTAATTATTTCAATTTAAAGCGTAATTATAGAGCGGAAACTCCTTTTAAGACTAAAAGCATTGCGTCATAGTATATAAATTGTTTTAGGAGGTACCTAACCGAAATAAGAAAAAAGTTACGCTAATAATAACTTACGGGCATAATACTACCATACCGTTTTATGTACCGATGGCAGGTATACTAAATATTGTTATTTTTTTATTTGAACATTTTTATAATAAACATTTGACTACTAACGCTATTTCTGTCGTAATAAAAAGAATATGGAACCAGCACGAGAGTAAACCTAACCGTATCAATTGAAAAAAATATTTAAATTGACGAAGATTTCACTTAAAACAACCTGTATTTTTTTTTTATTAATTGTATAAAGAGGAAGATCTCAAGAAATTCCTCTTGTGATAAAATGTGACATAGTTTAACTCACTTGAACGCAATAATCGCCTTCGTGAAGGAAAACAGCAACAGTCACTTAAAGACTTGAATATCACATAGTAAACTACGGCGCCCATAACACTTGTTACAAGTGTGCACAATGTGCTGGTCCTCGTTATATATTTTTATTTATTAATTATATTTATTATTAGTAAAAATGCCGTCTGTTGACTTGATGTAATATATGTATTTTTTGTTCTATTTCAATTGTTTATCAATTTTCTTTTTTATAAAAAACTACAATTGTCAATGTATTTATAAATATGTATCTTATATCTGAGATTTCACTAGATGTAGATAAAATATATAGTATGAACAATTTAGTCATACAATCTCTCTAACCTATTATTAATAAAGCTCATGAAAATATTACTTTTAGAAATGTAAAACTACCTATGCCACTGGCTTTATCGATGTTACCGGAATATATTGATTGAAACAAATTAAAAATTGTCTACTCTAGTACCAAATACTATATTAAATTCTATAATAATTTGTTAAACTGTTCTAATACTCTAATGCTTACTGCTTTTAAAACTTAATATTAGTAAGAGCACAGATTGGCATTCTTTGCTTTTATTTAACTTATATATATATATATATAAATATTTTACATAAAAACTTTTAAACTAATAGAGATTTAATAATAATGCAATGTATTTTCACATACGTATTTGTATTCTCGAATCATTGTCAATTATAAGTGTCAATTATGAGTGTCAATTAACTAAAGTAAATGCTTTTAACACGATATAATAACCGTTCACGCTTACTTAAGCTTTAATTCTCGGCAGAGGAGCAATTATCTATGAATTACAAGCAACTGGTGAGAGAACCCGCACCTATACAGGTTTACACTTCGCCTATTTATATACACCAATTTCCGCAATGCTAACACCACATTTTTTTTATTTACCTATAGGTAACTATAGTAAGGAAAAAATTATTCACTTTTATTTTATTTTTCTTCATCGTCATCTTTCTGCGCTTATACTAATTATTCATGTTTGACGTTATATGTTTTACTTTCCTGTCATCTCTATTCGCAGTCATTTCCATATTCACATCCATTCTGGTAAATCATCTTTCACACAGATGTCTCCATCCACATTTCACACAGATCCTCCATGTCTTTACAGGTCTTCCTCTATCCTTATAACTAGATGGTTATATATGGTGATGTAGATATATCATTCTTAAAAAATACATATAGATATACATATCTGTCACTCCTGTCTCCCATTAGGATAGAAGGAAACAATGGTATGCCAAATGCTTCGATTCAAACAGAACTCTTTCGCTTCCTATACTTTTGTCAATCCTTTCATACACGTACGCCGACCGTATTGTTTTTAATACTCTTTTAAAACATGATTATTATTTCCTCTGTTTAGATAAAAAAAAAATCTACTTTCATAAAACAATAAACGAAGTTTATTTGATGATAAAAAAACCTTATAACTTACTATTATCATTGGTGGTATAACGGATGATAATACGTTACTTTATTAATTTCAACAAAAAGGCTGTTTTGTTTTACTTACATAATTTGCATTATCCTATAAATAAAATTTCTATTCTATAATTTTATGCCTATACCTATCTATAATTGTAAACATGGCAAGTAAACCCAATTATACTTGTAATAGTATTCAATTCTGCAAACACTTTTATTTTACATTAGCAATCATACTCCATAAATTTTATTTCTTTGATTTCCACTGCACTAAATTCCCCGAGGGTATAAAAGTATAATATACGATGTGTTTGAAGCGTTGTACTGGATTTATAAAGATGGGGTTAGACTAAACGAGCGAATTCTCGTCCTTTCTTATCATACTTCATTATTTTTTATTTAGCGCTATATGTTGAGAGTATTCTTGCGTTACTTGACTACATCTGCGAATAACTTTATATATTTGTCTTCCGTTATTATTTTTATCCAAAACTACCGAGTTCTATGTTCCATTGCTTGTCTAATTCCACCTTTACATGCACGACTCGCGGCGCATGGTTATCATAAATCCTGCCTTCTATAGCAAAACTTGATGCTGCCTACCGTGGGATCCGATCAACTTAGAAGCTGAGACTTATGCAAATTGTACCCGATAGATACCAGGGCGGTTTAAGACTAGTCCTTTAGTCAATTACTGTCGGGTGTTAGAAGTGTTATCTTCTATTTCCTTATAACATTAGACATAAGGAATAAAATTGATCTTTATTGTAAGTATAGGATTTTAAATAAAGTTGAGACTTTGAGTTGTTACTTTACTTAATTACCTACTTATAAACTTCTAGTTTATCTGATAGTATAAACATTTTAACAAATAGCTGAATGCTAAAATGTACTAATAGTACTTGTTAATATTGATAAGAAATTTCTCAAATAAAGTACCTAAAATGTCATAGTGGCAGAGTTACAATATATGAATAAATGTCGTATAATTATTTATTTAAGACTACTTTTTAATCGCAACTGCCACATAACCTGGAATTTTTTTATTCATCAATATAAAAAATAGTCTATTACTAAGCCGTTAAGGTACCAAATAAACAAGGTCACTGTCGCATTAATAGTAGACATTTGTTAGGATTTATATTTTATGAGTTTACCGCCATCGTGTAATCACCAATTTTGCTAATGATGTACCCGAAGTTAATTATGCTATCGGTAAAGGTCAATAGCCCAATAAGTCGTAGTTGTGAACTATGAGTAGCGATACAACTTATAAAATAATATATTTAAATATAACCAATACTTATTATTGAAATAAAATTTTACACAAAATAAAATATAAAACAGTCTGATATGAATAAAATAGTAATTAAATAAATGTAGCTAACATCTACACTAACGGTACTAATCCACGCTTTGTATTAAAATATATTTCTTATTTTGTATTTCAATGAAATAACGAACAATATCCAAATAATTCTCAGGAGTCATACGGCTAAAAGAATAAAAACTGTACAAAAGATGGCGTCGCATGCACATTACGGCTTTTTCGGTAGGCACATTATTTCATTAGTCACGAAATAAAGTACGATATTTTTTTATTTAATTCCAGGATAATTGATTGTCTATTTGCTGCTCTACTTATTTATTTATTTATTAACTCTTTGTATTATTGTTTAATACAAATATATATATATATATATATATATATATATATATATATATATATATATATATATATATATATTTAATATAACAATTATAAAGTACAAAAGACGGTCTTATCGCTAAAACAATCTCTTACAGACAACCTTTGGATAGAGTAGAAAAAAATAACGGGAGCTATTTACTCACTTTATTTAAACCACGTAACAAATTTTCGTATAATGCACAATAGTATTATTAAAAATGTAACAATGTTTCTTTATTAATTAAAAGCTCCAACATTAATATATTCAAAAATTTTTAATGCAGGAGATTTTGAGGAAAAATATTACTATAAACTAGCACCATTACTTAAATTTTCCAGTTGACTTATCCGTCGAATAAATAACATGATAAATAGTTTATAATTATTATGTTTCCCTAAAACCTATATATAAAATAGTATTATATAAAATATATGACATTATTTTAAAAACACATTACACCGGACCCCAAATATAATTGGGATAAAAGTAGGAAGATAATAACGATGATATGACATTATCTTATTATATACAATATTACATGAAACAGTTATATACGTGTCCATTATAATATTTATAGACACCTGAAGCATATAATTTCTATTATCCCCCGCGCTTTGCAGCTGCTACACCCATTAATCATAATACATAACTACTTCAATTTTAACACAATGTAACTAGTAATAATAAACAAGCTTCTTAAGACTTAAACTTAAGGGTAATTATTAAGGAAAAATGCTGAGATATTATGTTATGTATTCCTATTACCTTGTTAAGTAATCAGCACTTTACGAACACATTTTATTTAATGTAAACATGGGAACAAAATAGAGGCAACAGCTTCTCTGCATACCCCACACTTATGTTCGTCACGTGTACTTTATATATATGTAAAAGTTAAATAAACAATAATACGACAGACTACAACAATTATTACAATAATGCTTAACCTTAGCAGTCACAGTTCAGTTTTGTAACATAGCCTACATACTTTTTTGCCCCTGTTAAAAAAAATTAATTGTTAGGCCTCTAAAAACTCTTAGGCATTCTATATCTTTGCCTTAACTCACATCATTAACTATAGATATATGTCGTAAAAAATATAGTTTAAAAAAATTTAAATATCATTTATTTTTGTTGGCATTTAAGTTTGTTTTTGTCTTATGCGACCGCTCAAGGTAAAAATTGCTGAAAAAAATGTAGATAATTTTATTTTTCAGAATCGAAGCTGGTCTCCCGGGCCTGCTTCGGACTCATCTTGGCAATTAGTGACTGGTACAAGTGTGTCACTATATGCGGCGTATTATGACGACAGAACGCCCCAACGATATGTACGCATTTTGGCTTCATTTCACGGTTAGTATGATTTTTTTTTGCACAACTTTGCACATATCGCACGGTATGCTTTGGAATGCTTGTCTCGCCAATTCGATTACAACAAAAATTATTAATTTCGTGCATTAACTCCATAAAACTATATTTTCCTTATTAAATTTAATATCATTAAAATACATATATATACAGCATCTAATAATCATCGTTGAAAGTCGTGAATATTTTATTAATTTTGTTTTGTTTATTTATAAGTGCTACAAGTTTAAAATATACATATTTTATCGTTTCTTTTTTAGTCTTCAGAATTAATCGTTTATTTCAATATTTCATCATACATTTTAATTTATAATGTTATAAAACTGAATACCTACGTTTCATTGCCTGCAGCACAATTATACGAGGTACATTCAAAGCTTATACATTAATAGTAAAATATAGGTAATAGACTTTCTCAGATAAAAATCTGATCACGATATGTTATGGTGCCCTCGAGTTGATGATTTTAACATATTTCACATGCAGGGTTATCCTTTTTTTTTGGGCAAGCTTTAAAAACGTGATTATGTCTTATAAAACTTTACGGTCGAAATTGTATCTGCTTAAAAAGCACGCACCAGAATTGTCGTTATGAAAGCTATAATTTTTATAACACACATAACCTTTGCGAAGTGCATATGAATATAAATAAAACAAAACTGCTTCGTACTTTTAAGTAAAAAATTGACGCAATCTACATCAATAAAGACATCCGCGAAATCTCGTGCGGTGATAAAACAACACCATAATTATTGGCGAACGTGATAGCCGATCGGCGGTTTTCCACGCGCTCGAACAGAAAAAAAGTACATTGTAAACAACTTAATCGCGTACAGAAATACGGAATGTTATTTACTTTTAAATTTTATTTTCGGGGTGTGTTTCAATAAGTCACGGGTGGATGTCTCATTAAAATCAGTTTGCATGCAATATATAGTGAGTCATTTATATATCGCGCAATGTATCACAGCAACAAAAGTGGCAGTGTCCGAGAAGAGAGCGCGAATGGCGATAAGCTCTCGCTCATTTGTCACTGAAGGCGAGCGTACATGTCGTGTAAATTCCTTCCCGGCCAAGATAAACGCCACTCCTATATTGTAACACGGACAGATTAAAATACTACATACACCTCGACACCACGATTTTTAAATTCGCTAATTTAGCTACAGCGGAGTATCATTTACTTGGATATATGCGAAAAAAAAATATATATATAAAAAAGGAACTGTATTCCTTTTTAATAAAGTTTCTATATATCTAAGAACAATAAAAAAAATCGCTATTATACTACTATATATTCTACAATCTCTTTACCAGCTAAATTTACCTTATTTTCTTAATGACTTTGAATAAAATTATGTTTTAATTATTTATTATTATTCTTATTTCTTCAAAAAGTTAATAAAAAAATATCGTTCATTACCTTAAAAAAAATTATGAACAAACATCTCTTTTTCTGTAATATCTTTGGAGCAGAACCCTTATCACTTCAATTGACACAGTTTATTCTATTTATTTGTTATTAGACTTAAGACCCCATTCCAAGAGGATTTAGTTAATTTTCAACAATCTGTTAATTACATATCTTCTCGGTCTTTTAAGTGGATAATAGAAGCGACTTGCATGCTAACCTAAATCGTTTTCTTCGCAACATAGTCGGTGCGCCAGTAGACAGGATTGAGTATTACAGTAATGAGGCTCATTAAGTCATTTAACGAAAATCTTTGTAACATGTAGATATGAGAATAAAATTACCTTTCATACATAATGCTACCTTTTGGTTGCAAATTCGAGCAAAAGTTATACGATCTAAAACTAAACATTTACTTTAAAAACTAGTCTTTTTCGTATTCTACTCGCACTTTTTTTTATTTTCTATGGTGATTTATTTTATTATTTTAAAAATTCTTATGGAATGCGATCAAACTCCACTATTATAAATCTAACACTCTACAATACAATACATGTAGAATTTTTATTTATATTAGATAATTTATAGAATACGCTTAATAACTATAATTTCTTTCTGCAACTACAAAATTAATAACGCAAAGTTCATTATAAAAATAATGTATACTTAAAATGACTTATAAAAAACAAAGTGGCATAGGGTTTTCTCAATACTAATGCTTCAAATTACGAGTGCCAATAACGATTTGATGTTAAGTATCTTGCCCTTATAGTAGTTATTTCTGACTTCTCTCAACTGTAATAAGAAGCAGTTCAATCCTGTTCAGAAAAGGCCGCAATTGAAGCACCGTTGTAATGACAGTTCCTTGCAAGAACCGCTGTGCCGCATCTAAGGAAATGACTCTGACAAATTACTATCATGTAACTCCAAGTAATGGAATTTCTCAATGTAATCCGTACAAACGTGGCAAAGTTACGTCTATATTTATAACCGTAATCTAATCAGAATTGTAGTCGTGTAATCGTGTGATTGACTTTTACCAATTAAATTTTTTTATTATTATTATTTGTTTACAGGAAGAAACTTTTCTACAGAAGAACCCCTATACTGCCAAACCCGTGTCATTAGCTCGTTTGAAAACTCTGTGGAAGTAGTTGCAGCTAAACCTTTGGAAATCTGGTGGCACGAGTGGGATACCAATTCTTTAGATGTGGAAACACCATTACTTTTATCTTGTCCTTTAACAGAATCTCTATATAGCCCTTCAGTGGTATCTATCGTCACAGAACCATGTAATGATCCTACCAACGCCTTTCTTTTAAAGCCAAATAAAAAACATTCTAGAAATAAACGAAATTTTACAATATGTGTTAAAGATATTAATTTTGATCAAGATATATCGCTGAATTTAATAGAATGGATAGAAACAAATAAATTACTTGGTGTAGATATAATTGATATATACATTGATAGAATAAATAAAGAAACTCAGAAAGTTCTGTCGTATTACAAAGACAAAGGTTACGTTCGGTTATATCAAGTTCCTATTAAAAATAAGTCAGATAGATCTCTTTGGCAAAGAAGACGAGATCATATCATAACTTATAATGATTGCTTGTACAGAAATATAATAGAATCAGATTTCGTAATCCCTTTAGATATAGATGAAATAATCCTACCTAAAGTAGCTGATAATTTAGGCACATTAATTGATCGCCTATCTAAACGGGGCTGGGATCCGATACAAAACTCAGCTATTTTAGTACAGAATGTCTTCTTCTTTGGTTTCATGCAAGGAGTAGATAAATATAAAAAAGTTTACAACACAAGTAAAATTTATGTTAAAAGAGACGATGTTCGAATTAGTAATAAAGAAAACTTAGATATAAGTGAAATAGAATTAATAGATGATAAAAATAGTTTAAGCAATGAAGTTGCGGAAGTTATAGAAAGAGGTGTTAAAATAAAGAATGAATACAAATCTTGGTGTGGTAAAGAAATACCCGTACCTAAATTAGCAAGACACGTTGTGAGATCAGCGATAGAGAGTCCTATGGGATATTATAGCAAAAGTATAATGCTGACGAGAAGAGTATTGACAGCATTTAACCATTATCCTTTAGCCAGTCTCGGTAGCTCAGGATTTGGTGGATGGTCAGCGCCATTCAGCGAAGTGCAACTTAACCATTATAAGGTATATATAGTTATATTAGTTTACTTTGCTCTCAACGAATCCAAATATTAAATTATGCGAACTAAAATATTTTATAATTATATTATTTACATAAATATTATATGTTTCATATATTTGGTTAAATTTAAAGTACAAATTTTTTACACATATGTTTAAACAAAATCATCAACGATATAATCCTTTACTATCCTTATGCTTACTGGTATTTTTAATTTATTTAAAATTTTATTGGTTACTCAAAGTACATTGCACAAAAAGGGAATTTAATGCTAATTAGCAGTATCTCTCTCTCTCTCTCTCTCTCTCTCTCTCTCTCTCTCTCTCTCTCTCTTTGTCAAATAATAAATATGAAAGTGAGTTTATTTGAAACTTTCTCCATGTAATTTAGCATTAATATAACTTATTTGATAAGCAAAAGAAGTGTACAAACTACATTTATTACTTTCAATCTATGTCCCGGAACACGCGGGCGAAGTCGCAAACATAGCTAAAGAATCTATAATTGAGTTTTTTTACTTCTTTCACGTAAATATAAAAGGTAAAAAATTTGCACATATTTTGTTGAATATCCAGACCCCGTAAAGTACATCGAGTAAATAAATTTAAAATTTATCTAATTTATTTGTTATAATTTTTTTAACAAAATAGTTTAGAAAACCGTGACAAATAACTGTACTCCAACAATGATATTTTCTGAATCCCTTCACGTTTTCTCTAATAAATAACAGTATCGTGTGCTCACGTTGGACAGGAGTCGTGCAACACGACGGTGGTGGTAGAGTGCGCGAGGTACGGACGGCGAGCACGCGTCGACCGCGCCGCACTGCGCCTGCGCCGGCGCCTCACCGCTGCCCTTGTCGACGCCATCTGCGCGCCAATAAACATTATCTGATACAAACTTCTTTTATTTTATTTTAATGACATAACATAACCCTATTGGTCGTATTTAACATATCGTTTTAAAAAAATACAATATACAAACCTTGTTTTTATCAATTTGAAAATTTACAAAATCGCCTGAATATTATTAAGATCTAATAATCATATTATATCAAATAGGTGACATAACGATAAACTCACAAGTACAAATAGATCGATAGAGATAGATTATTATAAAAAATTTACAAAGTGTGTGCTTGGTCGGTACAAAATATTTCCATAATATTACACGTGACTACATACGAATACATATACCTGTTATTATGCTTATACATGGAAATACAAATTATACGCACGATTGATGATATAAATATGTATGTAACAAAAATACGCCTTAGGAAACACGGGCCGTGTAAAATTTACATGAAAGAACATGTAACTACCTACTCACTTGACCTTTACATGCCGTTTTTAAAACTGATGATGAACAAAACAAGCAGCATAGAATTTTTTACTATAATCTTGTACAATCAAAACAAAAATAAATATTTCATTACACAAAAAACTGAAAATCATAACAATGTATAAATGCATGTATTTTATGCATATATTTGATAAGCCCATATTTATAGAGCACATAGAAAACTAAAATGAGTATAAAAAAGCGCAATTTCTCAAAGCTCATTTTCTAGTAAATGTCTTGGGTACATCTAAACATAATTCGGATAACTTTTGTTTAACATAATATCACTATATAACAGTGATACACTGTGACCGAAAATTGGATTTTTTTCTCGTATTTTGCACTATAACATAAAATATTCTTAAAATATTTACGAAATTTGAAATCCATATAATAAACTACATACTTATTATGTTACTTCCAGTTTTAGTGTTATATAGTTACTAGTAGTAACCGTAGCTTGGATCGCGTGTATTACAATAAATAAGTAGCTAGATATTACAAATGTATCTATCACTCCAAACTTTTAAACTAAGCAGAACTTATAAAATAGGTACTAGGCAACTTAAATAAACTTTTTATTGTACATACTTACGTAGTGACTATTTGATAATACTGCAAAGATCGAACTAAATACCATGAGATGATAAGACAATACTTTGTAACTCTTAGTTGTTTATTTTTTTATGCCACTTAAAATAGCAAACAAGCTTAATACTTTATTTTCGGCAATGTTACGTATTTCAAATTTACATTAAATTAAAACAATCAGGAAAAACAATTAGTCGACAAATAATTTATCATAATAAATTAAATTCATAAATATTTATATATGTACTTAAAATCTTACAACAGCCAATGACCACAAACAATGAATATACCAGAAAAAATAGATAGACAGAAAAGTATGAACATAAAATGATCCAAATAGATATCTACCAATGACATGACAATAGGAAACAAATCGCTAATGCCACGAGCAATATTTCAGACGCGGTCTGCCATAGGATTATCATTTATAGTAGAATGAACCGCATTTGAATTTCCAAGTTCTTGATCTTCGATCAACAATACTAACTAGATACAATACAGAATAGAAACACAAAAGAGAATTAAAATATGATATTTCCCTGTCTATTATACAGGCATAAAAGGCTCTAAAAGTGTAATAATTTCTATTTACCTATTGTAACATATACAGTATAACTTGAATCCTAAATGCAAATGTTAGCACAATTTACTACCTATTAAAATAGGAACTTGCTCTGTAAATAAGGCGTTATTGACATAGTAGACTGTTTTGTGCACGTTGCCTGGACATCTAACTGCTATTATTGATTAAAGTTCTCAAAACACAAAATTAACAATCTACTCCTCTTTTAAATAAGTCTATGCAGACTACTGTAAATGCCATCATCAAAACGTATGATGTGTGTATGCAAAATGAAGTAATGTCAGTAATTATGAAAAAACTATTAAAGACTAAAATATAAAGAAAGCTGTATCTAAATTTTTATCTCGAGATCGATTACTATAAATAACTTTATTATTCTGTTACTATCAGTTAAGTAGGAAGATACATTAGTACAAGGTAGGGATCGCTGTAGACGGGCTTGATTTACTGCGGATGTAAATCGTGTGTGACGAAATAAATCGGTAATGTCATTATAATGACTCCAAGCATAGTTACATCACTATAATGTTTTTCAGTCACGAAATTACAATAAACGACTCATTCTTACAACTATTATAATATATCACATGGATCGCATGATTTTAAAAACAAGATTTTTAGTATTCTCACGAATTAATACAAAATACCGACATTTTATCTTTTGCATCTGCTGAACAGAAAAACAACGTGTCATCTCTTCTTATCATCACCGTAACATAAGAAGCGACTATAGGAATTAAACAAAACACACTGTTAAATAACCGGTCAAGTGTGAGTGTGAACTTACCACCGTACATAAAATAGTCTCTGAAAATTCGCCGTACATAAAATAGTATTCCAAAGGCAATAAAAAATCTAAAGAGATAAAAATTTGAACATGTTGTACACTCACCGTTGCTTCAAAAATAGACCGAAACACCGAGAAAAATAAACCTGACCAAACCTACAAAATAGACGTGGACACTAGAAACAATTTCCGGCAATTCTCGCGGGAACAAAAACGGGTTTCCGGTAATGAAGCCGCAAAAAGTAACTAATCAAAAATATAATTTCAAACAAGCGATATATTTCGTTAATAAAACTAAGAGACAATATATAATACCAATGAGATTGCATCAGTACTTGTGCGTGCGATCCTTTATTTGCATATAATATGATCATTATGTATCTTAAGGATTGCTTTTTACACACTAAAGAATTTCACATCACTTGTTGAACAAACGACCGCAGTCAACATATTATTGCCATATTTGCGGCGGTGGAATACACCGCAAATGCAAGATGATAAAACCGTCAATACTCGAAGATACCAAAACGCATTTCTCGTAGATAGATCGACCACACAGCTATGGTTTATCTATTTGTTTTTTTTTTTGTCTTTAAAATATTTATTTGTTTAATATTTATATCAACGTTGTTTATACTTTTAATTAATAACATTAACTTTGTTTTGCCATTCTTCAAATAAGTAGGTACGACAAGTAACATAAGGTAGGTTTTTTCCTAAAATTATTGCAATTTTTAATTATAATGGTGATCCTACAAAACGAAGGATATCTTAAGATATCAATATTATAAGATATTAAAGTCTAAAGTTACGTAAACAATAGCCTTTATAGTATAAACATACTAGAGCTCCCGATACGGGATATACAAAAACAAACCATGACAAATAATTTCATAAAACCTAATTGTCTTTATGCGAAAGTTATTAAGTAATTGAAAATAAAAAAGGAAATTGTTCTTTTTAAAATATTATATCAATGCCAAACCATAAAAAAGCATTAGGGTCCAATGAGTCACTGTCATGGTAGAAAGTTTCGCGAGACTCAGAACTGGAACTGATCCATTAACATCAGATACCACCGACTAGTTTATTGGACATTGTGCGTTCTGATCGCAGATAAGCTGATATCGTGTTCGGCGCGGTAATCAATTACTACCGCCTACCCACCAACCTACCTTCGTGCTGCTCATTCAATACCACAACATTCTTATTGTGGCGACTGTGAAAATTAAACACTCGTTACATTTACAGATGTATGATAAAATTGCAATTGAATTTAAATTGCTGTATTCAATCTTCTTTGTTTATTTAGGACCTTGAGGATAGGCCCGCTAAAAGTTTATGAATTGCTTTACCAGTTTCTGAGTGCTTCGTTGGCCCTTTTATCCTTTTTATTGCACAAATGAGCTTTAATATGGGCGACTGCTTTTAACACTTCTTACATATAAATTTTATTTTACTATGAAAGGATCCCTTATTGACCTTGATGTCACCTGATGTATAATGAATGAACGAGGAGGGAAAGAGTGAGAATAAACAAATGGAAAATAATGAAGGAATAATGCATGAGGTCGAAGATAAAACACACGAGCCCACAAACAGCTTATTTAACTTTGATTTAGAAGAGCCTAGACTATGTGAATCCGTAAAAATAGGCAGGGGATGAATACCACACTTAAATAATACGTATTATAAAATAGAAATAAACTTTGATAAAACCTTGATAACAATGATAAAACTTTAATACACCTATATAGTATAAATGGCAAAATTAACACTATATGGTATTATCTACCAGTCGATCGTAGACAGGAATAATAGAAAAAAATATTGATATAAAATAGTAATATATAAATAACATGCACATAATATTCTTATTGCTTTCATTACACATACATATATATGATAATTAATAATATCAAACGAAAAACCACTCATATATAAAGAAAATACCAAAATCATACAAGGCAGAACGTCTAAAATATATTGTGATTCTAAGGATTTTAAATAAACAGTACGCAATTTACGCTTGAATGCCAATTTGGTTGGAACAGATCTAATGTCAAAGGGTAAAGCATTCCAGTGCCAGATAGCCTGAATGGCGAAAGAATTGGAGATAAAATAATTATAGTGGACAGGAATATGGAACAAGAGATTTCTAAAAGAACGAAGACATCGGTTACTGACATCTCTGTGAAATTTAAATTTAAACTTAAGGTATTTAAGCGAGTTTGAATCGTATAAAATAGAGTAGAATATATAGAACAGTCGAACATTTCTACGTTGTCTGATGATTTATCTACGACATAAAGATGCAAATCCTCTCCTTTAAATTTATTGCTTGCGATTGGGCGTTTTCTTTTTATAATTTTTTTATTAACTGTTTATATTCGCGATAATTGAAAAATTATTTGATATTTCATTTCTATGATTTGGAGATTGATAGCTAATATGGAAGGTTGTAAAACGTCTTGTAGCAATAGTAGTGGTTAATCTTTGAGTGTTAGCAGTCATACACATACTGATAACGGAATCAAATAATATAATTTTAATCGAGTAACCAGTAGTATAAGCTTCCGCAAAATAACACCTTATTCAATTAAATAATAAAAAAATAGTTTTAATTATGGATAATTCTTCGTTAAGTTGCAACAAAAGCACTTAAAAACCCTAATGTATATCTTAATTTTTAATTTAGAAAATAAACTGGTTACATGTTTTACATGTCATGGTATATTTTTTTAAATTTGCTAATATATACCAAGTATCTTGTTGTATAGTCTAGACTTGAAGTTTACAAGTATATAGTTATTTTACAATCCTTTATCTAAAATATCTAACTATTGCAAAATCAAATTATCTTCATAAAAAATCTTTAGAAATTTATTATATTCTTCTGATCCGTTATGAACTAATCAAATATGCGCAGGTGCTGCCAAACCGCTGACCCTTGCCGGTTTATCAAATTTTATGATCCTATTGAATAATATTATAAAAAAATCATACTATACTTAAAAATATTTTTTGTCTCCATCGAAAATATAATCGGTTATGAATAAACATCAGTTTTTTAATACATCATAACCTTATAGTAACTCTATTATATTATCAATGATCGTAAGTAGGTACTTACTACTCACTGACATTGACTTCTCTCCAACTTATGTTTGCTAGAAGGGAATTCTTTCAAAATTAACTTATCGTGTTGTATATCTTTTCTGCTACCATGTAGCTGAATGCATTATATTTTGTATAATGCAGTATATTAATAAATAAATATGCTCTCTCTAGAATCAAATCTTAGTGGTATTACGAGTATGTGAGTGAGTAACAAGATTGAATGTTAATTAAAAAATTCAAAGGTAACGTTTAAAAACATCCGGATTCAATAAAGACAAACGGATTAATATCTGTGAATCAACTCTAACCATCGGAAGCTCATTATCCAATGTGATTATATCAGCCGTTCAACGCATTCGATTTCAGATAACGCCTCACAAGTGGTAGTTCGAACAAAATAAGAGGGGTCGTAATCATAACTTCTGGCTACAGAATCAAGTACCACAAGTTTATATAATATATAAACATAAAAAAATAGTTCTTGCGGATTATCTTCCCTAATTATTCTCTAATATTTAGCCAAACTGCTTAATACATATGATAAGAAACTATATTTTTCGAGTCTACAGGCAACGGTTACCGCTTCCTACTTTCCGTCAGATAAGCCGTCGGCTTATTTTCTTTTGCAGCAATATAAAAAGTTACATTTTCACTATAGATTTGTGTGCTCGTCTAGATAAGTAGGTTGTCTTGGTGCTACTTTTTATTACGGTAACTTTTTTTTTAATCCATTCACTAATTTTGAAGCTATGCCTACTTATTGTATGTACAGAAGTAGGTACAGTTTAAAAAATATTTTAATTGAAATAAAACTAAATATGTAGCAACTTTAAATAGAAAATTACTTGAATGGCAATATATTTTCACTTTAAACATCGCGTGCGAGCACTGTGATTGCAAAAACTTTAGCACACGTTCTCTCTAAAGCCATATAAATTCATGACACAAAAGACAACGCAATTGCCGCGCTATATCCATGTCTATGACACTTAAATTTTACCTTAAGGTTTAAAGTTTTAATATTAAAATTATTATATAATAAATTCTCGCCTTTATCTCTTCAACAACGGTGACAGAGATTATTCAGTGATACACATGGTGCTTTAAAAAATCTTACTCCATCCAGTCACATACAAAAATTTGTAACTGTTGTTTATTTTGTACAATTTGTTCTTGAACAAGTACATTGAGTGTAGTCAACATTAAGTAAATATGAGCTTAAATGTTGAACTTTGTTTATGTTATAATTGCTAATTTTCTCAAAATATACATAATATATTATATTCAATAATAAAAATCAATCACTGAATATTTGTAAGCAAATCATTTTTGAACAGCTACACCAATTTTGATAATTCTTTTTTTACTGTGCAATTGCCAGGACAAGCTGTGTACGGGTACTAAAGAAAATAAATTAATAATATATAAAAAGGGAAGTGATGCGATTACATATATTCGATAATTTATTTTTATTTATAAAGATTATATCTAGCTGATACGAGCAAACGTTATTTTGCTTATTGCTGCGACTTCCATCCGTTTTTTTCTTTTTATCAGGATAAAACTATCCTGTTGTTCAAGTTAGAACGCATAATCTCTGGTATTGTAGGTGTTCATACGCTACGGTAACCACTTACCATCAAGTGGCCGTATGCTTGTTTGCCACCTCAATGGTATAAAAAAAAATAAAACAAACAATACACAATTACAAACGGTTTTGGAGATTACCGTGAACGAATATCGTGACACAGGATTTTTATATATTATGATTAACTACCTCTTTATGGTAGATATTAATGCCGTTGTAGAATTATGATAAATAATGCGCCGAACTGAAGTTCTATCAATCACGGCTTCTTGTATAATCAAACCTCGTTGATGTATCAACAGCAAAATCGTAATTAATAATGCTACAAAATAAACTCTATGTAACAATTATAAGTTAGATTGCAACAAGAATATATTATGTTAAAAAAAATTGTGTTTTGTCAAAGATTTACCATAAATATATATACACTCCGCTCAGGCAGCTTTATTAAATTTTAAACAACTAAACAATTATGAAACATAATAATTTATATTTTAAAAACTTTTACAATACAGATTTTAATACGATCTCAGTATTCTTCTTACGTCATATAATTTTTGTCTTTATATATATTTTGACTTGTTTGAAAATATTTAACCCTACCTTGATCGTTACCAACCGCAAGATAATTTATTTTATATTCAGTAAATTACCTTACTTATATTCAAAACCGTACTATAAAATTATGCTTTCAATATCCGCTAATATAGTAATGTCAGAATTTTATGGAAATTTTATAATAGGATTACAGAAATAAATAGTATTACACAGAACTGATTACACTCACTCAGCATAAGATGTTAATGACGCCATAACCTGCGCACAACAGGATAATTATTTCAAGAGAATGTTTACACCATCTCATGCTATAAAATGTAAATTAGATAAGTACAAAATATCACCTCTATACTTTCTTATCATGAAACATAAAAATTAAAACAGTATTAAAACGTTATGTCTAGTAAAAAGGTTGTTTACATTGATAAGAATGAAAATTTGGTAATACATTGTAATATTCTAATGTTGTCTAACATAGCTTCTTGAATTTAGGACAAAGATACATCTAAAATGTGGTCCTTTCAATAAAGGACACATGTTTATTCACTGATAGAGAATAACTGAAAAATAATGATAATAAATATAACGTATATACGAGTATGTATATGTTTTTTTTAATAGATGATGATGAAATGGTAATCCCGCTTGCGCTAGCACGTTGTGGTTAATACACCTCGAATTTAACACGATGGTTTCCAGGGTGCACCACGTAAAAGTAAACTTGTCAGTGTATACTGCTAGCAATAGGACTGGTAGTCCCCCTTACTAACAATCCCTTCCCCTTCCCCCAATATGTTAATGTTAACTGTGTAATATAACTTATAGAAAATCGATCGATTGCGATGGTATAAGTATGAACGAGACAGGATCAAGATTATAAAAGATACAGAGAGTAACGGCCCTTCTATGTTAAGTATAAGGAAAAACAATGGGTATGAACAGACGAATGTGGCGGAATTAAAAATCTATATCTAACATGAATTTTTCCAATAAATATTTAAATCGTTTAAATCATTTCTGTAAAGATTCGATATAGACATGAATGTGTACTACATCACAGACATAGATGTCATCATAATTAGATCTACGTAAGTAAAAAGTGCCAATTTGATCCCCCGCTATATCCTTATCCCTGTAACTTGATTCGGAATTTTTGTAATATAAAAACTACATTATAGGTCGTAATTTCGAGTGGTTATTACTGAAAGAGATTAGTTATCAATAAATAGCGTGTGTGTATATTTATAAAAGTAGGTTTACTGTAATATATAAGTTGAAAGTTCTTAACCTCTTCTTTTTTAATGTTGGTTAATAAACTGAAATAAAAATAAATTATGTTTGTATTGTACAATATATCCCCTAGCTGTATTAGCTGCACTATTTAGAGCCAACATTAAGCTTAATTTTATTGCGGTTTATGACTCGTGGCCATAAATGTTGTTGTTAGAAAACACTTTTAACTATCCGCCGCAAAAAACAAGTCCCTTTACAATAGCCCACTAACAATCACTGTAATGATACACATGGAATGCTGTGGACAAAGATGTTAATTCATTAGAACGGGTAAGCGTTTTATAAATATTTTTTAATACTATTACTCGTGTAATTGTGATACCCTCAAGTGTCAAGAATTTCTAGACTGTCCTCTATATAGGAAGGTTTCTGACATAGCTGAATATACGACGATTTTATATCCCCTCTACAACATTTCTTAAGTGACAATCACTTTTAAATAATTACAACATGAGTATGTAAGATCTAGAATATCTAGATTCGATTTAGAAATCCTCTTACTATAGTCAAGCGTTGTCTAACGGAGCTTATCACATGTAAATAATGCGAACACTAGCTATATTTAACTGTTTATTTATAATTAATAGACATGGCAAGTAACTTCAAAAAGGACGAAGTATATACTCAGTATGCGTATGTTTTGTTTCTGAACCGATTATGGATAATTATTTTTGCAAACTGTAATATAAACTCTCGTGTTGGACCTATAATAATTTTATTATAATTGAAAGTACTGTCATCGTCGTTGTGCAAAATAAAAAAAAATATATTATGGTATTTAATACCATATTTTTTTTTATTTTGATTATTTGATTTGATTAATTCTAAATTATAAATATCATATACATAAAGGTTTTACACACTAATTTTAGGTTTAAAATTAAAATAAATGGTTTTGTCCCACTTGAAGACGATTTTATTTTTTTGTGTGATATAAACATTAATTATAGAGTTATCTTTTTCAAATTACATAAATGGCTCTTCTTATGGATTTAAATCTTTGATTAAAACTCACAGACACCCGCGAATGGCATGTTACTTATGAAGATAAGGTTCAAGTCGTAAAATATTTATATTTTAAGTAAATATGACATTAAAGTGGATCATAATATGTATAAATTTCTCAATAATTATAGCATGTAATTACAAAACAAAGTTACTTTTACCTTTTCTATACTTTTCTAGTACGCTTTCAAAAATAACGAATTATGGATTTAGGTATATTTAGGCACTTCCATTTACAGACTAGAGAAAGAAAAAAAAAAGTAGAACGCTAATACTTTCTCGATAATTATTTCAACACTTGGTTATTCATTGATATATCAATAGATCAGTATGTAAATTCAACAAACAATTTAACAAAATCAAGTAAATAGGCATGTAATCCACAAAATACTTGGCATGAAGATAGACATATAATATGTTAAAAAATATATTATTTATTATTTTCTTTATATCTTTTATTTTTGACATACAGATCATACAGATTTTTTTTGGATTCTGTAACTCCTGCAGACCTACTATACAAGACCTTAGATTATATAAATAGTGTCTCCATACAAATGCTTCAAGAAAAAACAAGTCAGCTAATTTTCAAATTAGCTGACAAACAACCGTTTTTAAGACTGAATGCTTTATCTACATAATCTAAGACTAACACCTACACTTATTCCGTTGGAAAGAATCAATAATTCTAGATAAGATACAAAAACTTTCACATTTTATTACACGTGGGATATATTATTTTACTACTTCTATTTTAATAATATTTAAATATTTTTCTGTACTTGTTATACCTATATAATAGTATTGATTATATTTTAAATAAAAAGAAAAAAATATATACTGACACGAACTGATGACAAAACAATCACAATAAAGACAAAATAATGAACACATCCAAATCTTCGAGTCATGCATGGTTGCATTAACATTGCATTGAGGTATTCGTAGATGTATTCACTGTAAAGTACAGCGTCATGTTCCAACCACCCACACACACTGTTCATTACAATGGACTGGGAATCTGGGATGTTTATAACGAACTGTTTTATTAGTTTGATTCTTGACCACTAAAAGTAAGCAGATTAAGAGCAAAATAGATATAATAAAGGATTAAATGTGAATTGAGGAATATTTTTTTCATATATCACCATTCTAACTAAACGACTATTTAAATACAACATTCAGTATTTTTAAACGACTTCTAAGAAAAAGAGTTCTCTTAAATTCGTCGTTATTTTTTAAAATGAATCGAAATTATTTTGGTAGATTGTGGGTAATTTTTATATGAAAGAGGTTTACATTTCCCGTATACATTCTGCCTCTATGTCGGCGTGCAAATATTTTATTATTAACAATATAAGAAATTTACATTTTGTATTGTATTGTATTTTCATTTGTAAATACATTCGCTAGTTCAGAACCGATTTTGCTACTAGATTCTTTTTACAATCTATCGATTGCTTTGAGTTTACTATTGTATTGATTCAATATTATATTTTTCCTTAATTGTAAAAATGTACTGAGCGCTTAAAACTTACTGATGTAATGGTGTAATGTAATAAAATGTGTGTAATGGTTTATATGCCGGCGGGACACCATTACACACCATACATCACACATCATCATCATCATCATCACATTATACACCAGTGACAAATTGTAGATGATGATGAAAGGCAGCTCAGCATATCGTGACGAATTCCATAAGAATTAACCTCGATGATTTTTAGGGGAAACCAGGGGTTGACTTGATAGGATATATTATTAGCAATAGGGCTGTTAGACCCCATAACTAACAATCCCTTCACCTCAATGTATTGATTATGAGTGGATAGTTGCAAAATAAATCCCATTAAAAACAAATGACACCGGTTCATGCTTAGGAATAACGCTTGTCGTTGTCGCAAGCCGCTCTTTCGCTATAAAAAGTTTTTATATGTCATATAGAACTAATTCTACAACGTTTATTCACTTCATTACAATTATTCATTCAGTTACCTCCTCCATTTCTCCATTCACAAATTTCTTAATAATTGTCAATCTTATTAAGTGCTATATACATATAGAATATGTCTTTTGTAATTCCTTTGTTTTGAAGGAAAAACTACATTATGATTTGATCAACTAATAAATAAACAGAAAATAATTACGGCAAAATATCGTATCTACATAATAGATATTACCTAGCTAGTTATTATAATTAAGTAGTAAGTACGTAATGAACTAATACAGACACAAATGCAGTTGAATAACTCCGTTAATTTAATAATGCTGAGTTTTATTAGCTATCTTAATTTATTCAAAGATCTGTCACCAATAAAGTCTTCGTTATTAACTCGTAAAATGTGATTATGTATTACATAATTATCTTGATCAGTAATGGATAAATTAATTAATTTTTAGTTATCTTAACTGTATAATATTCTTTAATTGAAACACATAGAACTGCTATTTTATTATATGTGATGGAAAACTTAAATATTCGAATAAATTTGAGAACTTTCTTACACACATTATAAATCAACAGCCTTTCAAGTAAAAGTCAGAGAACTCTGTATTTTGCTATAAGAAAATATAATGAAATATTTTTCACCACATCTGCTCTTCATACGCTTTTTGTTTTAACCTAATGGTTACCTGGTAGAGAATGTCATATGGCATTAAGCTTGCCACTTGTATAAAGTTTTATTATGCAATAAAGAATAAATAAATAAATGTAAACAGACACACTTTACGTAATTTACAATATTATTTAACAATATGAAAGATTGAAGCAATTAAACTATTGGATTATATCGTGCGTCCCGCTGTCTAACGACGCAGGCCTGGAATAGAGTGCATGCAGTCAATGCACTATTGAAATTTATCGTATCCTGCGAATCTACCGCCGACGAGGCTGAACCCGGTCAACGACCTAGGAACAGCGT